TATATATTTGTATTTGAGGGGTCAGGCCTTACCCTAGCTGGGGTGTTTCTGTCCTTAGGTGAATGCAGGATGAACTCCTCCACCAGCTCCTGGGTTTTGGAGTCGACCTGAGGAGGCTGCCTCCCGGACTGCACCATGTTACAGATATAGATGTCCAGGTGATACAGCAGCTCTTTGGCGGCACTCAGCACATCGCGAGGCAGCAACGACTGACGAATGTCACCCATCACCACCTATCAGGGACCCGTAGAAAAATGTTGGAGATGTGTCTCATGTACTGCAGAGAAAAACTACAATAAAACAAAATCTAACACAACAATGCACTGATTCTCTGCCTGTTTACTTCTCTTTACACGAAATAGAAAACTACTGTACAAGGAACACCGATACAACAATAGTAATAACGAAGTCTAATTGTAACGTTACATTTCTATATATATGTTTGTGTCGGTTGGTGGACCAGCTTCACACTCAGTCGTTTCTCCTCCAGCCTGCTACTGCTGCTGGTTAGCAAGGTTAGCTAAAGAGACTGTTTTGAATTGCGCAACAAACCTCTCGTGGGTTAGCTAACGTTATCGTTGAAGCCTTTTTTTTAAAGAAAACACATGTATTTAATTAGTTGATGTCTTACCTCTGCAAAAAGCTCTCAATATACTTAAGGAGTTAGCCGACGTTGGCTGAGACTAGTGAATGGTCTACAAACGTCGACAGCGCCACTTCCGGTTACTACGGAAGCCTGCGTGGGATAAAATTTAGGCCATGGACGTTTTCAGCCGAGTCTGTGCATGTGCTGCTTTTTTTATGTCAACAACATCCGTTGTTAGCGAGTGTAAATTACACGAGGGCACATTAAAAATCCTCAAAACATGGACTAAAAGTGATTTCACCCTACACTGTAAGGTTTTTTAAAATTAAAAAGTCATCTTTTTTGTTATAACGCACATAACTACACAAACGCGGGGGGCGAATTACATTTATTTATTAGGCGCCACATTTCCGTTGGATGTATTTATAAATTAGCCTATTTTAGCAAACAAAGCCTCAAGTTTTTCAAAATTAAAACATTTGATAGTGCGGCAGGATGGCCATAACGAACCTAACCTTTAAGTGAAATTGTGTTACAACCATGATTTAACCCCATTTAACTGTACATGTGTACACTTTATATTTTACCTTTTTGTATACAGGACATCTCATATTTTTGAGAATCTGTTGATATTTTAGTTGTATTTTTCTCATTGAGCTTAAACACATCAGTTACAGAGAAACAAACACTTATGGACAAATAGTTATTTTCGCTTCTCTACAGGGACTATATATTATATTGTAAATCATTTTGGCATACTGTAATCCCGTCTAATCTACACAGGGGCGCGCCCGCCACCGGACCGCCCGATGGGGAAAAAAGAGAACAGTGGTGCACTCTGCGGCGCGCTCCCGCGCTGCACTTCGGTCTTGCACTTTACCGTCCCGTCGAGTGATCCCAAGCAGCCCGCAAGATGACCATCAACACCTTGGCTAAAGGAGGCTGGAACCAGGAGCAAATGGCATGCTTTCGGAAGGTATGATACAATGACTGTGTCTGCTTTACTTATTTCATGAAATGTGATACATCATGACCTACTGTGTGAATCCGAAAATATATAGCCAGTGCGAAGATGAGAGCAAGTTATGAAAGGGTGGAATATCAATATGTGTTTCATCAGAATATTTGACCTATGCATGTGTGTTTTTCTATGCTTTCCTATGTTGTGTGCATTTCCGTGTGTGTGTGTGTGTGTGTGTGTGTGTGTGTGTGTTGCCTTGACAGATGGAGAAAGTGATTGTGGCCATGCAGGACCCTGACATGGGTATGAAGATGAGAAACCAGAGGCTCCTTATCACTGTCATTCCACACGCTATGACAGGTGAGTGTGTGTATATGTGTCCCTTTATGTCAGTGGGCATTAGCATCTCTATGTGGACATGCACGTTGCAGCTTGTGTTTGTCCCAGCGATCATGCATAATGCAGCAGTGCATTTTTGGAGAATACTGTGTGCTTTGCAGAGTAGAGGGAGGAAGTTTGTCCTCTTTTCTTGTCTCCTTTGTTTTCCTTTTTTCCTTTTTCTTCAGGCCGTGATATGATTGCCTGGTTGATCCAGAAATACAGTGTCTGTGAGGAGGGTAAGTGTATTGATACATTTTGTGTTTATGTGATAGAGAGAGAGAGAGAAAGAGAGAGAGTGATTCTCTGTTTCCGTTTCCCTTGCTTGTTGTGTATCGTTGCTAGTGTGTTGCCAGGATATGGTGTTTTCTCTCAAACTGACGTGGTGAAGTGTGTGTGTGTGTGTGTGTGTGTGTGTAATGTGGGGCTTGCTGTTTCAAGTAAACAAAACGGGGTGAGCCCCAGGGCATCCAAGTTTGATTAACTCACCTGATGATCTGGGTTTAATTAGTGTCCCTGTGGTAGTTTTCACCTCAGGAGACTTTATCATAGGTGAAGTAAATTAGAGGTCGGAAAAAAAATAGCCCGCTGGTCCCTTTTGCCTCAGAGCAGACTGAAGGAGGAAAGAGAAGAGCCAGTCAGCAAGGGAGAGAGAGAGAGAGAGAGTGATAAGAGCTGATTAATAAAATGTATCGCACAGCTTATTTTGGTAGCTGTCAGTCATGGAAGTAGGGCTCTTTAACAAATGAGGAGCGACTGAAGATTGATGACGCATTTCATCGCTGGCACAAAGCTTTGCTTTGAGAGAGATTACTGACAGGGTGCAGGTGTTTGATAAACAAAAAAAGAAATGATAGATTAGGCCCACAGTATTTTAGACAACTGAAAGTATTCCTTGTGACCAACTGATTGATTGATTATTATTGATTTTCCACTTTCAGTTTGCTGAATTTGAGAGCTTTACCACTAATGAAACAGCTCTTTCATCATACGGTGATAAACCTGCCTTAAAGTAGCCCTAACGGTGTGTAAGCTTAAATAGAAGGCTGGGTGAACTACTTTAAGAATACAGCCCTCATAATCACCTAAAGACAGTGAAACTGTGAGGAACTGTGCGATGATTTGTGTCTTCTGTGGTGTTTAACAGAGGCACTGCACCTTAGTGGGATGCTGGTGAGATACGGGTACATTTACCCTCTCAAAGAGCCGAGATCTCTTGTGTTACATCCCGACGAGTCGCCTTACCGCTTCCAGGTGAGTCGGTCCTCCCCTCGTGCAGTATGTTTATTCTGCCTGCTTGTAAAAAGCCACCGTCCCTCCTTCCAGTTTAAACGCTTCACCACTTTTGACTAACGTGATCACTGGCTGTCTTCCTTTTCGCTCTCTCACTCCATTAGCCCACTTTCTAATCCCCCATCCATCTGCCTCTCTCTGCTGCCACGTTTTAATCACCCGCTTCACGATCAATCTCTATCAGAAATGTAAAAAAGGTCACTTGTTTTTTCTTAGACTCCTTATTTCTGGCTGAGTACCCGGTGGCCTGCATCAGAGCTGGACTATGGTAAGGCAATGCAAAAAAAACAACCCGGAAGGGGTAAGAGGGGATCTCAGTAAAACATATGGGCAAAACATAAAAACATATAGATCAGGTTACAAATCTCTTAACCTCTTTCATTCATTCATTTATTTAATGTTTTCCTTCTTATATGCCATCAGCAATCTATTTGGCTAAAAAGAACATAAGAAAACAAGGAGAACTGATGGAGTATGAAAAGGTGAGCAAAGTGTGTGTCTATGTGTGTAAGTAAGAGAAAGAACGTGTGTACATGTGTGTGTGTGTGTGCGTCTGGGGTAACAGGCTTTTATCATTTCTTTGGTAAATTCTAGTCCTCTTTTCTCTCTGTGTTTTTTCTTTACTTATTCATCCCGTGTCCTTCTTCCTCTTCCTTTTTAGGAGAGGTACAGTGTGTTACACAAGAGGATCAACCACACCTGGGACTTTGTGGTGATGCAAGCCAGAGAGCAACTCAGGTACACTCACACACACACACACACACACACGCACACATACACAAACTTACAGTGTGATTTACATTTAGAGCATCCAAACAGAGGCGGAAGGCTGACCGCATTGTTCTAGAATGTCAGGAGCAGGCCTACTGGCTCATCAACAGACCCCCGGTACGTTAACTGTTATTGTACTCTACTGTGTTGTATTATAACTGCACTCTGCTAAACTAAGCTATGCTATTTCATCCCACACAACTATAGAAATGTGTTTTACAGTATTTAAAACAGTCAGATGTCCCACTCACAGTCCCTTCTGCCTCTACATGAAATATTCAACCCATCTGGTAAAAGCCTCAGCTGACAAGAGAGAGAGAGAGAGAGAGAGAGACAGAGAGAGAGACAGAAAGAAAACGAATAATCATCATATTCCACTTTCTTTATGTTGTTTAAACACCACTGCAGTCCATATGATTCTTGATGGAGACAGGTAGAGAGAAGGATCAGACGGAAAGGAAAAAAGTGGGGGGGCAGGAAGGGAGAGGGTGAACCAGAGGTCAAGGGTTTGGAGGAGGGACTCCATCTTGTTTTGCTCTTATGAATTAGGGACGAGGACATGGAGAAAAAGAAAGTGAAGCTTGAGAGTAGAAATCAGAGCCAGTGGAGTGGAAAGCTCAAGGAAGGATAAGTGCTCACTCTCACGCATGTTCTCATCAGACGCACACACGCACACACACACACACACACACACACGACATTTAGTTATTTAATGCACGTATGTATGTGTATTTCTTTCAGCCTGGGGCACATAATGTGTTGGACATGGGTCTGGAGAGACCAAATAACTTCAGCGCACGAGTTACGCTGGTCAGTGACATCATCACATTTCTTAATGTCCCGTCCTCCTCTGAAAAGTCTGTTGTGATAATGTGTCTCCTGTGCATCTCTTCCGTCCCTGTTTTATTGTTTTCCTTCTCTCTTGCTGCTGGGATGGTTTCAAAGTAAGTGTGAAAGTAAGCTTTACTATAGTATGGACCCTTACAGTGTATTACAATATCTTTATAATTATAAATAGAGGTTAAACATGACGTGATAGCCACCTTCACTGTCCCACATGGAAATGGTGGCTGATTAGAACCATTTCTAATTAGCATCAGCAGCAAAGACAAATAACCATCTATGATGATTATTATATATATTCTATGTTATGACCAGTATATAATCTCACACCGTACATTGTCAGAATATATCCTGCTTTAATATTTAAAGCCATTGTTTGTGTGGGTGTACACATACAAACACAGGGAGGCTGCCTTCTACTATTGATATGACTGTATAGTATAAATGTATAATGCAGTCACTGTGTGACCAAAAGTGATGACACTTTGTTTCTCTTAACAGAACTAGAACAGTGACTACTACAAAAATGAGGTAAGCATCATATATATATTGTATACACCCTCACTGTATTGTGCATTGAGTGGATATTTTAGCTCCCTTTGTGTGCCTTTTGCCGTTGTTTACAGATTGAAACCAGTCGAAGGGCTCTTGGAAGGAACCGTGTCAAGTCGTCCATCTGCCTAGAGGGGTATGTGTCAATTTGATGAACAAACGTGTGCGGACATACATCCACATGCACATGTGCACGTGCACACAAGAACTAATGGACTTGCAGTCCTGGACTGCCTGGACCGAGCTCTACGTCTCCAGCATGCACACACGTGCACAATAAGGCTTAGTGCTCCCACTATAAGAGACACTAATGGATGCTTCCCGAGGCAAGTCGGAATTAGTGGCCATTAACTCTTATGATCGGCAGCACTAATCCAATAGAACTGTGTGTGTGTTTTTGTGTATGACGTGCCTCTGCATTTGTGTGTGTATGTGCAGTTTTGTGAAATACAGCGAGCAGTACCAGAACCACGACCCCATTATGCAAGGCTGCCTTCCCAGTAACCCCTGGATCTCTGATGACACCGCACATTGGACAATGAATTTAGAAATGTGAGAAAATACACACAGATATACACACATGCTATAACAAATCCAAACTACGGTCCACTGTTGTGGTCCAATGAATGAAAGTAATTTAGTTCAGCTGGTTTCAGCTTTTGTAGCATCTCTTAACCTTAATTGTGTAGTACAAAGTTACCACAGTGATTCATAGTGTCAGCTGATGTGTTTGTTTGTGTTGTTGCTGTGTGTTTACGAGCAGTGTACCAACGCCGACACGTCTCAGAGTGGAACGCTGGAGCTTCAGCTTCATGGAGCTTCTCAAAGACATCATGGGGAGGCGGGAGTTCATGCTCTACCTGGAGAAAGAGTTTAGCGGTGAGGAAGAGTGACTGAAGTGTTGGAATATATTCAAAATACAAACGTGAAAACGTTTAGTGATTAGGTTTGTGGATGGAGTCCGAGCCAACTTGGTGTGAGGAATTCAGACACAAAACATCACATATTTTTTGCTTTTCTTATTTCTATTCTGAACAAGCTTCTGTTTTAGAGGTTGAATCACAACCATCACGTGGTACAAGTTGGCAATGGAATAGTGGAAACGGAATTACATATGGAGTAGTGTATCACAATAATAAATGTAACTGTTATCACAGGACAATCATCTTAAACTGATTATTACTCTTATTAGCATTCAGAATTGTATTATTTCCCTGAATCACATTTTCCAATCCCAGCAGTGAAAGACAGATGGGTTGAGGTAGTGGAAAAGAAGATTAATGTAATGACATGGTTAGTTAGGGGAATGGAAAGAATAGATAAGGAGGACAAGTAGAGACATAAAGCAGGAAAGGGATCTGTTCACTCATGCAGACTTATGAAATATTGCCAAGGGCTGCATGGTTTTCCCCAGAGGCTAACCACGATATAAAAAGTCTCTCATTGTTTGTCACATTTTCCCGCACTATTGTTGCGCTGTTCACCTCCATACAAACCCAACATCTCATTGTCTGTCTCTCTGCTAGCGGAGAACCTGTGTTTCTGGCAGGCCTGTGAGGATATTAGGCACGGAGAAAGCTCCAGGATCATAGAGAAAGTGGAAGAGATCTACAAGTAAGCGTACAAGCACACAAACATGCACCGCTTATACTCACTGTCAGATGACTGCGACTCGTTTGTGTGCGGCTCAGAAACTTCCTGGCTCCTGGAGCTGCTCGTTGGGTCAACATCGACAGTAAGACGATGGATAAAACTCTAGAGGGGATCAGACATCCACACCGTTTTGTCATGGACGCCGCACAAATGCACATCTACTTTCTCATGAAGAAGGTTTGACCTCTGACACATTGTAGTTTGATACTTGAGACTTTCACCTTTAGGTGCGGATCTAGAATAACAGGACATTCCAGGCATCCAATGGTTTCAATACATTTCTATAGAATATCTTTTAACAAGCTTCATAAATCTGCTAATTGATTGTTATACCATTCAGAAAAATAAAAAATAAATCAATGGCTGCATGGAAGGGTATGATTTAACAGCGATTTAATAAATGTTGTAGATCTGAAAGGGACAAGGATCGGCATAACCGTGTATCATCAGCCTAATAATGATTACTTGAATTGGGTTTTCCGGATTTTGTGGCCCTGACAATTGTGATGTCCTTTCCTCTCCTTGGAGTTCAATTCCCCAAAAAGAGATAAACAAAAAGAATGTCATCCATACAGACAGAATGCAAAGCGAGCATATCTTATTTGGTCAAAATATACATTTTCCGCCAACTTTGTTTAGATATTGAATTTCTTCATTTTTCATCCATAAATTAAAGAAGACATCACAATGGCAACATGAAAGTTTAGCTGACAGCTAGTAGAACGTATTTAAGTGGTAATGCTGAATTTGTGTGTGTGTGTGTGTGTGTGTGTGTGTGCATGTGTTTGTGTGTAAAGGACTCTTACCCAAGATATCTCAAGTCTGACCTATATAAGAACATGCTGGCCAAAGCTATTGTTCCCCAGGAGACAAAGAAAAGGTAAAATGACACATGAATCACCACTTTTACTTTACGTTTACATTAATAGATTTAATTCTCCAACATTACACTTCTTCCTCTCAGTGTGTTCCCCTTCATGAGACGCCAGCGGCACTCCAGCCCCTCCCCTGCTCAGGCTGTCATCCACGCGACAGAAGAAGACGGGCATGCCAAGGGGGCCGGACAAGCAGGTACTAACTCTGCAGCCGGCTCCCATGTCTGATGTCGGGCCAAAAAAAAGACGCAATCTCAGTCTCCATTGTCTCTGTTGGTCACCAAAGTAAACCGCCCCCCAAGGACTTTTTTCTTTCAAGTCAAACTTTCTGTGTGAAAGCAGAGCTTTCCACTTCACTGCGACAGTACCAGAGCTAGGATATCTCTGTTACAGGTGTTAATGCGTACCTCAGCAGCATCACATCTTATTCCCAGAGCACGAGCAGGAGAAAGAGCTTTTAGTGCTGCATAGTCATTCTGCATCTACATCCCATCTCAGTCCTGCATCTCAGTCCTCAGTCCTGTTCTTGATATTGATTTCTAATACCGAGTCTTCCTTTCTGCCCCTACAGCCTGTATATAGAATCTACTCTGTCTCTCATAAGCAGGTTTAGGCAAAACGGGTTGTTTATAGGGCAATAGAGATGTAAAATATGTATTTTGTCAGAACTTTGCCTCAGCACGTGTGTGATTATTGTACAGTCTGCTGGTTTTGTTCATTCCATGCTGGAAATTCTCATTGTCATGGGTCTCGCTGTTAATTTTGCTCGAGCATGTTTTCATCCCAATAAAATGTCACAAGGACATTCAGTGTTGTGTTTTGCTCTCAGCTTTGCATACTGTGGTAAACTGTGAATGTGTGGATATGCTTTTCGTTCTCATATTCTCTTTCTTTCATGTGATCTGCTTCTTTGTGGCCCTTGGGTCTATTTTGAGCACAAAGCCTTTAAATGGTTTGTTTAAGCATTTCTTAAACTCCAGATGTGATGGCTTTGTAATATTGAATTATCGAGCTCCAGTCACTCATTTCATTTGACAGCAACTTCCTGAAGCTGACAAACCCGCTGCTATTGGCTCAGGTCTGTTCCCTACGGTGACATCTGTCGGCACATGCTGTTCTCTTTATCTTCTGCTGCTGTGTCTGAACGTATTCATTTCTTTTTACACATTTCCCCATCATCTAATAACCTTTCAGATGTTGATTCCCTCCATTGATCCCGTGGGAGCTGCAGTTTCCTCTACTGGGTTGGCTCCCTCTACTGGCTGTATGTGGGCAAAGTAACTAGCGTTATTTATCCGTTTAAATTAGTGGGTCACAACCTTTTTTATCTTGTCTACCCTTCATCACAGGTTAAGGGCTGAGTGTGAACATGGGAGGGTTCAGACCGTTGTATATACGCGTGAGAGCTGACAAGGTGAAAGTATCCAGTGTTTCAAAAGGACAGAATATTTATAAGAAATAAACATAATTTTGTTGACAACACATTCATTATTTTTTTTTTTACCCCCATTAAGTATCTTAAAACCCCTCAGATTTATCTCAGTCCCAGGTTGGGAATCACTGCTCTAAATCCAGCATGAAATCAAGGTCTAAATGAATAATTAGGGTATATGGGGACTTATAACATATTACTAATACTACTGAGCAAAGTTCCCTTTTAGGTGTCAATTCAGGTTAAAGCGGCACTCCACCGATTTTACAGATGTCAGGTTATTCATCATAAGGAGCACTCAGTCTGTGTCTAAAGTCTTGAGTTAGGTAGAAAACCTTTGTCATGTACTGTTGACGAGGAGTTTTAAAAAGAACGGCATTTAGATCGAATGAAATATAGTTTTGAGTTGCATATGGGAAATGCCGAATCCAGTATTTATAAGCTTGGTTCATACTAGGGATTAAAAGTCAGGATATGTCGGCCTTTGCTGCTTCGATTTTGAAAAACAATGAGCAGTCAGGCTAGATGCTGTGATCTGCAGCACTGATCTGTGTCAGCGTTGCAGGACATGAGAGCCCACCGGATTTACTAATGGAGGTAAGCCATATATGCACATACACGTGCACACACACGCTATATTTCTGAGGATTATGATAATCCGCTTTCCTCCATTGCCCCATCCACTCTCATTGCTTGACAAGAGTGTGTGTGCGCCTGAGGAAAAAAACAAAAATCATGAAACCGTTCTCTTTATACCACAGATTTATTTTTGATGGACCAAATGCTCTTTGGATAAAGTAGTAGACCAATAAAGGAAGTAAAATCATGTTTTACATCGAACATCACATTTCTTCATCCTATGAGAGCTCCAGTGTGTTGTGGTAGAATGCCTTTCATACTCTTAATTAAATGTGACAACTAAAACAGGTGATTCACACGCTCTCATACAAGAGTGAAACACAATATTTCAAAGAAAGGAAGGCTATGCAAGTGTGCCAGAAGCGTTCAATTTGAACCTGTGCAAAATCATAATGAGAAAATCATCAATACATGGGACGCTTAGAACACATATTTCATACGTCTTACATTAAATAAAGTATGGAAAGTGCTCAGTAGCTTCACTGGTGCAACAGACAAAACACACATTCATACAGAGCACTCGTTTACAGAAAGATAAAGACAAGAGGAGGCACTGGACACAGCAATCTGAATATACATTCATAGTGGCCACTCGTATACATATGGGCTTTGTACATTACATAGCGGAGTTAGCTTTTTAAATCATAAAAGTGCTTCAGGATGAATGTCGGTAAAAAGTAATAATTTTAGAGCAGGAGATGATCAGAGAGCAGACAAGAAAAGAAAGGTGGACATAACATCGGGCCATCTACTACAGGCCTACAGTACGTAAAGAGGTGGATTGTGGGAAGGCATGATACACGTGGTCAGTAATCTATCAAGCTGTTCTGCAATTACGCTTTGAGGATAACAAGCTCATTTCATTGGCTGATGAAGACCATGTAATATGGTAGAAAGAACAAAGCCAAACCATTTGAAAGGTTGTTTGAACTACATGGCAGTTAATATTAATAATCAAGCATCCATGGCAAATGGATCAAAAAGTCGAAATAGTTTTCAAATCAAATTTTTTTTGCACTGAATTCAAGAAGATCCAAGAATGAGAGGAGTGTTTACATCGACTATAAATATTATATATTTTATCAGTGGACTCAATGATAATCTGAATATAAAGATTAAAAGTAGCTCCACAAAGTGAGATTCCTTATAAATATTTCAAACATCGATTTCATCGCCTACATGGACATACACAATATGTACAAATACCAGGGCCCTGTACTACGAAGAGCGAGGTAACTTCAGGTTCAAACCAACAGACACAGGCCGCTGTTAGAGTGCGAAGTTAAAAGTATACGTTGACATTTTGTCACGCGAGTCATTTGTCAGTAAAGTCAACATCAACCATGCTCTTATGCTAAACCCAACCTTTTGTTTTGTTGCCTAGACCTCACTTCCTGTGAAGACGCAAGTTTATTTTGAAAAGAGACGATGCATGTACGAGTGGAGACTGACAGGCGTGAATGCGTAAATTAAAAGGCTTATAATATCACTGCCCCATCGAGACGATAGATCGGACTATCATTACATTTGTGTATTCAGTTCAGCCTGTAAATCTACACATTCACATAGTCAGCGATTTGTTTGCCGGCTGTTCTTCCTGTGTTTTGCAGCTGCAACCGTGTTGCTTTTAGCCTGGAAGTATTCGTATTTGTCGAATATTATAGTTTGTAAAATGTGCCGCTCGACTAACAACAGACTTGTCCATGTTTGGGGATTGTGTGAACGCACTCAGAGCCAGATTGATGAACCCTGGGTTGATTTACCGAGCTGATGACCGCCGCTGAGCGGTAACGCGGTACGTTGAACTCGCTTCATAGTACAGGCCTCTGGTCATGAGGTCAAAGGTCAGGTGGTTTGCTACCTGGAGGTTTTAATGTTCATACTGCAGCTTGTGGAATGGACCACCTTCAAGGTTTCAGCAGATTTGATTTGGATTAAATGGTGTGTGTGTATTAGACTTTTACAGATCTTTTTCATTCAAATATAAGAAGAGTTTCAAACCATCTGTAAATGTGAACATGAAAATAGTAGACCTATGAGAACATAGGTCTAAATTTGATTTTTAAATGTTTTATTCAAGATATTAAGAAACTTTGAAGAGTCAGAGTCTTGATATCTTTTTACCTTATGTGAATGTTTGCAGTTTGCAGTGCACTTTGCTTCCTTACAGCATCTCCTGTCCTACTATGTGACAGTGTAGAGTTCATCCTTCTCGCTCTGACAGAGAGTGTACCCACAAACCCGGGGTCTCCAGCTCCAGCCCCAGCTCCAGCCCCGGCTCCAGCCCAACGCCTCCCTGTTCTTCTCCTTCGGCGGCAGCAGGAACACCACGCAGCTGGCCACCAGGATGTGCCACAGCGAGTGTGTGTAGTAGTAGTTGCCCTCTGTCTCAGTGAAGATGTACAAACATACCCCGACGAGGGCACAGACTGCCCCGGGGATCAGGAAGAGGACCCAGCGTCTCCACGAAGGCGGGTAACAATGACGTCGCTGCACTCCTCGGTACACCTGTAAACAAAGAAGAAACTGGATTCAGCACAAGTTCATTGTTTTATTCACAATCTTTCTTTTCTCCACATTGTGTGACCGCCTAGTTTTTCTTATCAACGAGGAAGTCAGCAGCATATTCCCATCAGATACTGTTTCATGAACTCCTTTTATTGGATGTCTCACCCAGGCAGTGACCATGCACAGTATGGCAAAGATGACGGGACCCAACAGGTTCCACAGGCCTTTGCGGTCCAGCTGCATCGACATGGCTATGAGCAGAGCCCCGAGCATGAACAGAGTCTGCATACACAAGAGAAAGACGATTACGAACAAATCATAGCACTTCAAATGTATTCATTTTAAGTTCAGTGTGAAAATAGGCAATAGTCAGCGTCTTACATATTTGAATGTGTCTCTGATGCGAGCCATGCACAGGATGGTGACCCAGATGGAACAGACCGACCCCAGGAAGTCACAATATTGTAGGGTATCGTAGTCCATTATGCACATTACTGCTACACCCGGCTGGTCACAGGCATGGTAAAACTACAATATGAAAAGGAGGAAAAAACACACACATTACTCTGAATGCTACAAAACTGCCTTAATCAGAACTAAGGCTCTCCTTCCCCACAGTCACATATAACACATGCATATAGATGTGATGTGCCCATAAGGACTAATATAACTCAGCTTAATCCAGAATGGGAAAAATGCTTAAAATGTGTGCGTTGTGTGATCTGGATTGATCTAGATTTTAACTGAAGTCATCTGCCATCACAGGCTCTACCCAACAACTCTATTAATAGCAATACATAGTAAACAGACACGCTCTGTCAGCATTTCTACTAAAGTGAGTTACCTAAACGCCACGTTCACTAAAAGTGCTTGTTTTTGCCACTGCCATAATACAAATCTGAGTCTAAGTGTCTGTCAACATTAAAAATAAAACGTTTCCTTATCTTTATCTTGATCCGTTCTGTTTGTTATTGTGTCTAAGTCCCGTTCAAAGAGAACTGTTTTTGTGAAATCTGAATATCCCACCCTCTTCCTCAGTGGGCCTCATAGTGTCCCAGAGCTTCATGGCCCCGCAGCAGCTGGTTCACCCTCTGTCTGTTTTCAGCTCTTCCCCTCTCCTACCCTCCTAAATTTGGTGGAGCTCTTCATCCGTGTACTCCGGCTCAAATAAATACGGGCGCCATCGGATTCAAAACACCTCATCCCCATTGTTGAAATCATCTAAATGTTAAGCCATTCCTTTAAAAATCTTTTGGATAACAATAAACGCTTTCTGTACAGAACACTCGTGTTTCTACTGTTGTCTTCCAGCAAAAAGTCACCTCGTTCAGAATGAGACTTCTCAGTCTCTTTCCATAAAGTCAGACTCTGTACTAATAACTATCAGAACCTGTCACTGGCAAAAACATCACCTTTAATGGACGTAAATGACAGCCGGAAGGTAAACTCAGAAGAGATCCTTCCCGCTTACATAACGTTATACTTATAGAAGATGAACAGTACTCTAGAAACATGGCTATGTATGCATGTGTGTGTGTGCGTTACCGTAGAGAAGAACATTGTGAAAAGGTAGACGGAGGCCTCAGTGATGTAGCAGCGTTTGATGGCCACCACCATGGCAGGCAGGAAGGACAGGTTACTGAGCGTGAGCAGCAGAGTAGCCGTCAACTGGCGACGGTACGACTGAGCTGTGGAGTTATCAGTGCAGCCCCAACCGCTCCAGCCTGCAAACACACACACACATGCACACACACGCACCCACACACGCGCACACACTCTCAGTGAAATCTAAATAAACACACAGCGGAATTAATCAGTAAATTACAAGAAAGGATACAGTAAGGACACTTCTTATTTTAGGTTAAGCAAAGAGAGTTACTTCAGTTATTTAAGTCAAAGAAAAGTATCTTTGTGTGAGAGTGAGTGAGTGAGTGAGTGAGTCTTACCAGCCTTGCAGACACAGGCAGCGTACAGGTAGCTGTAGGATCTCATTAGTCTACATTCACCATATGTACCACAGTCCTCTACACAGGCACTGATAAACACCTCCGGGACCACAGACACCAATGATATATTGCCACAGTCACTGCTGCAAGAAACACACACACACTTAACATATTAAAACACACGGCCAGTCACAAATGCCTTCGCTACACAACCTAGTTTTATGCACTTTAATTCCCAACATTTAGCACATATAGGTGAATTTACTATACGTGTGTGAATTTAAAAAAACATCCATTGTCTGTTGAGAGTAGTGTTATCCCGATCCGTCATAGGTGCAGAAAATATGTAGAAGATATTCAAGATACACATTTTTAGACGCAGATAGAAATGCAGCATTAGCATGTGTTACCTGTTGCATGTAAGCTGCAGGGTGAGGTACCATGTTGTTGACTGAGGAAAAGGCAGCCGGACCACAGCTTTGGGAACGCTGGCATTCACTTGAACACTGTACCCTCCAAACAAAGCTGCAGACGCAGACACACACACACACACACACACACACACACACATACACACACACACACACACACACACACACAGTTTCCAAACTGTATTTTCAGAATGCAAAGTCAAGCTTTACAATATATTTTTGTCTACAGGGTTCAATGAGACCTATTTCCTAATAAGAGCTTAGAAGTTCTACCGTAACTATTTCTAAGTCATAGCAAAGTTGGTACCTATCTAGGCATGCCCTTAGCACAAGGCAGGAAAACACCTTTGAAATGTTGACATTCCTATTTCATAAATGTATATTTTAACTTGTACTTGTTTGCTACTCCGAGTGTGTTATTCATCATCAATCCTACAACCCTATTTTCTGCTATTCTATCTTAATTTTACCTGAATCATGAAGCTGCTGCAGGTATTTCCAGGTGTCTAATGCATCAATTCCTAAGTGTAAAAGTGAAAGAATCATTCTGGGTATCTGCGCTACCTGTGCGACAGGGTTGAGAGTCGTTGAGTTCGAGGACCGGAGCCCATGGAGAGAGACAGGCCACCACACTGCTGCTAGTGTTTCCCAGGGTTACATTAGTCTACACACACACACAAACAGCACGTAAGCTTAACCCTGACACTCTCAAATCTAACAGGCTTTTATCAGGATAGTGTATGAGTGAATGTGTAGTCTTTCACCAGTACTCACAGAGTTGAGTGTGAGCTGTAGGTTGAGTGTACCCCCGGTGGCGTGTGTGTACAGCGGGTAGGTGAGCAGCGTGGGGTGTGTATCCGTGACGCTGATGTTGGGTCCACTGGCCGGAGTGAATCGGAGCGACAGGACGTCTACCTCCTCGTAGAGCACCGGGATGCTCCACACACACGCCGACGACGGGGTGAACAGGGATGCTGAGTCGTTGCTTAAGGTGACTGCGTCTGTAATGAGGGAGTCGTTGCCAGCTGATGTTGAGTTGGTGAAGCTGCGGTTGCCTCGGAGCATGTTGAGGTCATCATCTACTTTGAGGCCGACGCTTTTTGGCTTGCACCCCACTGAGGGAGACACATATTTAAAAATAATTATCACACACTGGCAGTGGAGTAGAACAGAGACATAGTGTGTGGAATGTTTGTTTACAGAAGTCTGTGCATCTGTGTTCACCTGTGGTGTTTGAGACGATACTAAAGCTCACAGTACGGTTGTCTAAGCCGCTCTCCACGACAACTCGTACCCAGGTATCCCAAGGTGGGTTAGAAAGAGCAGCAGAGCAGCCGATCCCTGAGCAGTTCACCGTTACCGGGCGGTTCTGTAGAGAGGTAGAGCCGAGCCTGAGGACCAGCGAACAGTTTCCACCGTCGGCCCCATCCTCTGACGAACAGTCGGCCACAGAGACGTAGAGAGAGGACGCAAACTGTGGAACGTACAACCTGAGACAGACACAAATAAATCAACTGGACTTTTACAGACTGATAAGAGGAATAAATGCACACACGGACAGTTCTTACTTAAGGCGGGCAGGTCTGTCAGGAGCTGTGGTCTGCTGGAGGAATGTGCCCTGCGGTAAAATGGGCGTGTCCACCGCTCTCCTGATTGATAGCTGAGGCTGGAAGAAGTACGAGCAAGACGGAAAGCCCTAAGAGAGAGAAAGACAAAAAAAATTAAATAAAACAATGTAGAACAATGGGGGACAAATACACACAAAAAATACAATTACAGAGATACGTATAAGATCAAATGTAAGTAGGAAGTTTCTTTCAAGGCCAGCCGTTTGGTAAATAAGCCGGCACTACCTGCTGAAATTATGAAACATGAACGGAGGCCAGAAAGAGAAGAAGCAGAAGAATGTGATTCAGCTACTTTACGTAAGCAACAATTAACCGACCTCCTGCTCCAGTGGAACAGGTCGGGGTAAAAGGATAATTTACAAGTAGAGCATGATATGAATATTGACACTTTATCTTGGCCTTTCAATTAAAAACAAATGTCTTTTTTAGACAAATATGATGGAGAGATGAAGTTGACGTGAAAAATAAGTGATCTCATCTTTCTTCAAAACGGTCCTCTTGAAAATTGCAGCACTTTAAATGAGGACTGTTTGTATGCATATGTCCAGAGGAAAGAAATCTTCATCAGGACTCATAACAACAAAAACAGTTACAAAAAGTGAAAAGCACATACTGTATACGGCTCTACACAAACCTTCTGCTCGATGCGGCCATCATCTTCAGGCAAGTGGGCCCCAACGTACCAATCACCGGGAGCAGGATTGGAGAGGTTGAAGGTCGTGGAGCTTTGTGAAGTTACCGGTAGGATCAGAGACAGACAGGGGCTCCATAGTGTAGCGTTGGGAAACACCGTCCCTGTTGGGTTTATCACTGGAGGGGCACCATACCGAATATGGCTATGAGAGAGAGACAGAGAGAGGGAGAGAGATTCAAAATAAGTTTCAAAGAACAAAATAAAAGCGTCGGCAGTAAAAAGAGATGAAGAAGAGTCACAACAGTAGAGTACAGTAGAATAAATCACAGTAGAAAGTGGGCAGACGTTGTCATGATCTCACATGGTGACATTGTGCTGTCCACAGTGGAAGGTGTGGCCCTTGGTGACGGAGAAGAGCCAGCGAGCGATGGCCGTTTCCTCTGGTATGTGAAACCTCTGCAGCCTCACGTTCCCGTACCAGCCATACTTGGACAACTTCTGAGCCGGTTTGGACGAGAGCTCGGAGACAAATGTCACCTGTCCATCTTCAGGGGATAAGAGTTCATTGTATGAAAGGGCACAGACACAGTTTTACTGCTTGTAGTACTCCGATATACATATTGTATTCGTCAGTAAGTTAGTAGTTTGTAAATACAAGACAATTAATGATACAAAATATTATTTTAATTAAAAACAACACACTGGGGAAATTTAGCCAGAGAGATGAAGAGATGAGAGAAAGAAAGAGCACAACTGACAATATTAGACACTAAATGAGAGGACTAAAACGTTTCTTCAGGTAAACTCGCATGTCGAGACAGTTAGCAAACATGCTAGGACCAGTTAGCTCTGTCTTCGTCTCTCGTGCTGAACAACACTCACCGTCTGCTAACGTCCGAGTCGTCAGGGCAACGAGAAGGAGACCGCATAGAAAACAAAACTCCATGTTTCCTTCACGAGTGTCTGAACCATTACATCGTCCTTTAACCACCTGTAACGTCACACCAATCTATCGCTGAGGAGAAGTCGTTGTCCATGCACAGCACTTCCTGGATTTCTATGTAAATACATGACGTCACGTGCTGCCTTTGAGGCCGTCGGAAAACTGACCATCATTCACATGAACGACGGAGAACAAAATGCCATTTCATTGATAATTTGTGTAATTTTAAAATAGATAATTTTTAAATATTGTTAATTGACATAAACGACAACTTTTTGTTGACGCAAAACATAATGCACAGCAGTGAATAAGGTGCAACACACATTAGTCCATGAATGCAGCGCGAGTGTTAATTATAATGGTAATGTTTAAAAGTAGAAGTTTAAGAGAACCATGGAAGGCAACACTGTCTTATTGAAACAGTTCTGAAATGCCTTCATATTAATGTGTAGGCCTATATAGCTTTCATGATTAGGACTTATTTCACCATCACTAATGTCCATTTTTAAATTAGTTTACTGTTACATTATAATGAATTTCATGTTTACACATAACACACATTCATTCAGCATTCATACTTCTCTGCTGTTTGGGTTGTGAGATGAGCAAGAGCATTAATAAAGACTCCTTTTGTCTTGTTTATTACCAACCGACATATTAGGCTCATCATTGCAGCAGAACAATGGCACCATCTTTTAAATCTTCACAGGTTAATTGCCTTATATCCACAACTGTGAAAGAGGTCAGAGAGACTGGACAATATATGAGATATAAGCTATTATTATGAATAAGATAAGACAATCAAATGAAATTCAGTTTAAATGAAAAAGAAAGAAAAACAGAGTTCATGATCAGTATCTCTGCAATTCAAGTCACCCGTGTGTAAAACATGTATTAGACAAGGACATAACATTTTTAGATATTTCTTAGTAGAGCTTCCTCATATTTACAATGTCCTTAATTGTTAATAAAAGTGTTTTTTGTCTCTTGGAACACCTAAAATACACACACTAAACACTGTACATCCTAATGTAAAAAGCAAATGAGTACTGAAAAAGAGAAAGGGGCCCATTCATCTTCAAGCATCATTCATCATTCATTCATCAGTGTCAAAGTGCATTTTAAATCCCATTGCATTACTGGCAGTAAACTGTTGAGGGGAATAGCTTCAAACCAAACATCATACATTCAAATGTTGCTTTATAGAAGATCATAGAAACATTACATCGTCCTGTGACTCCACCCAGCACCACTGAGCATCATAGCCCAGCAAAGCCGAGTCTCTGTTAGGCGCACTCTCTTCCTCTTCCATCGTATTGTGCTGCAGGGCTCTGAAACTCTCCTGAGTTTGGTGCTCCGTCTGTGTCTCTCCTGACTGTTTAGTGAGGGAAAAATTATTAATTTTTCTTCTTGCCCTGTTAGATCTGAGGAGAGCTCTTCTGATGGTGCCAGCATCGCCTTTGATGTCTTGTAATGGAGCTACATCCGAGTCCTGTGGTTGGGACTTTTCTGATTTGTCAACAACCAAACAGTTGGCAAGACCAGATAATGACCGACCACGGCTGCCATGTGCGGAACGACTAACTTCAAACTTGAAGGTGGAAGGACTCGGAGGTCTTTCCTCAGACTCTGGGATCGGCATGTCAAAGTAGCTCTTGTGGTTTGATTCACCATCATCAGCGTGTGGTGGGTGATCCGCTGATTCTTCACCAGAGTTTTCAGTCAAATCCTGAGTTGGACTCTGACATTCTCTGTGGGAGCAATAATATAAAATACTAAGCCACATATGAAGCCTGAGCCCTAAAACCGATCTAAATCTAAATCATGCACGTCTCAGGTATCTAAGCTTCTTCAAGTTTTTGCTGAAATTCTGAATCTGACTGACACACAAAATGGAGCAGTGATGTACATTTTTGATTTTTTTGTTTTAGATTTGAAGTTGTTTTTTGAATGTACACTGCGAAGTTCAAGAGTTTAACCACACTGCTGGTTTGTGTATTCTAACAGCAGTTTGTAGGCTATCAAGTACATGATTTTAATGACAATTCTCTGACATATTCTCTTTTGAACACTGAACATGCCAAATATGATAACTCTGAAGTTTATAATACAATTTGTGTTTATAGGTCACTTATCTGCATATATTGTCGTATTGCACACTTTCGTCAATGCAAATGCCCCTGGTGGCATTGAAGACACCAATAGTTTGGTAAGATTTTGGCCATGGCATGACTCTGTTTAATGCACTTTTTTGTATATCTGCACTGGGTTGCAAATTGCTTACTTTTTCTTTTAAGAGTACTATACACTACAATGCCTTGACAAAGTACGAACGTAGTGCATGCAGTATGCATTCAATTGGTAAATACTACTTCATCATAACATGGTACCTTGAACTTTGACCATCTTGCTCATATATATTCCGCGACGATTGTTGGCCAGAAAAGCATGTTGGCTTGCATACTGAATACAACCGGATTAAGTAGGACATACTGTATTTGATATACTATGTATTGGGACATACTAAATCTTTTTTTCTGGCATACTAAATAGTATGGCAGTCTGGGTATTGGAACGCAAAGATAATCTATTAGCTTAAACATTTTAAATAGCGCACATCTTCAATCAGAACAGGTGCCTGTACACCTGCCAAACCTAAACTGTACTGTACCTGCAAGGGGGCATCGAGAGCCCGTGCTCCTCCACAGTCACCAGGCTGCTCAGGCTGCTTGTCAAGCTGCTGCCACGGCTGGCTAAGGCCCCCCGCTCCTCCATCAGCCAACGCATGGCCTCAATACCCTCCTGAACGGCCACCAGCTGGCGCAGAATCTTCACATCGGCAGAACGCAGCCACCTCTGCAAGAATAGAGAGGAGTTAGATAAGTGTGATGCAAGTATATATCAGGGAACTTGATATGTGTGTGTGTGTGTGTGTGTGTGTGTGTGTGTGTGTGTGTGTGCACTGCAGGCATGTGTAATGGGAGAGAGAGGTGTGTATTTAACCTCTCTCAGAGGCCATCAGACATAAATCATACACACACACTCACTAGTGAGGCCCTTGCTTGTGTACTCATTTGACAACAAAGCATAAAGCACAACAAAAGAGCAAAATAAATTAGAAGTATGTTGGAGGAACTTAAGGTGAAAAGGTGTTCAGAGAATGACCAGAGGAATCCCAACAGAATGTGTGAAATTAATTGAGAGGAATGAGAGAGACGCCAGGTGAAGGGTGTGGTGAAGAGACAGGTGACACTGTCTGTCATCAGAAATAAATAATACGCAGGTGAAGTGGCTCCGAAATGAAAGCAGTGGTTTTTACATTTCTGCAGTTCAGAGAAAAACATTCGTCTGTCATCAGAATAAACAGAGGAGTTATTCCTGAAACAAGTTGTGCAAGTTGCCAAACATGGAACGATACGCAGGCAGGCATGCAGGCGCACTCAGGCAGTACAAACCACAAAACAGAAGATTTTGTCCAGTTAGGTAAATGCATAATTACATATCGTCTATGATAGATTCAATGCTGAGAACAGAATCGGAGTCTTTACCATCTCTTGTTTTAAAATGCTTATTTTGACAGAAAAGCTATCGCTGAAGGCAGAGCTGCGGTCTCCCCTGTCGACCACATCAGACCTCCAACCATCTTCGCAGTCCACAGCATCCCTCATCCAAATCAGAAGACTTTCCGGTGTTTTCATCCCAACCTTATTTTCCACTTCTGTCAGATCTGGGAAGGAATCGTTGAGGAGTTCCTCTGCCATCCCACCGCGCCGTATTTTACTTCCAAGTCCTCCGATGGGTGTTTTTTTTATGGAGAAGAGCTTGTGCGTAAAGTCACTTTCCAAATTCCACTCTGAGAAGTTAAGACTCGACAGCGGGGAAACCGCGCAATCATAAATCTCCCACACTTACAGCAAAGTCCCACACGTTATATTCCTGAACACTCAACAACAAACCGTGATCAGGAATGACAAACGTGCCACAGAGGCGCAGATCGAGCCGTGAAAACGCTGGAACGACAGATCACCTGTACCTGCTGACATGCTGTCGCCATTCATGCTGCTGAGGTATTGATGGTGTGTAGTACAGAATGTGTTGCTGGAAAGTGGAAATGCTCTTTGTGTAGTCCTCAAACAATGGTGTGAGTTCCATACAGTCACGTGAAGAGGCAACACCTGTGCGCACCAAGCTGCTTGTGATGTGAAGCGCACGTTAAATCTGTAACAATCTCTTTATTAGCCTTCTTTATATGTTTAACCTTGATTCCAGACAGAGTAGGGCTATGTATTACTTATAATTGATTATGTAGGTTAGTGCCTACATATTAAAACCATCAGCATGTAACTAAAGGCGGTAAACCCGTAGTTGTATAAAATGTAATTTAGGATATGCATAGGCCTAACTAACTAAATCTCTCCCTGAGTAACTTTTCCTGGGATCAAATTTAAATGTCCTCATGTCAACCTCTGTGTTTGTTCATTCATTTGGGAGTATTATGGTGATTAAGGTTTTTGTTTTAAAATGTAGATATCTACTTGTTCAAATAAGTTTAATTGACAAAGAAAAGTGGTATGTATTTTTAAAAGCCCAGATGGTTTGGCTGTACAGTAGATGCAGGCAATGGCAAAAATATATATTGTATTGCCATGTAAAAATGTGTTTTGAGACAATTTGGATCATATTGTGGAAGTGCTTAAAAGGGACGATTCTCCTAAAATCCAAAATACATACTTTTCCTCTTACATGTGCTATTTATCAATCAATATTGTTTTGGAGTAAGTTATTTAATGGGACTATATGGCACTCGGCTTGTGGCGTTCAAAGCGCCAAATAACATTTCACAAACTCAACAGCAATGTATCTTTCCAGAAATCATGACCCAGTTAGTCAAAATAATCCACAGGCCTTGTTGTGAGCAGTTTCATCTATGGTATTTTTGATTTTGGGGTGAACTGTCCCTCAAAGATATTCTGTAGGCCTATAAGAAACAGGTCTGTGCTGTTGTACAGTCCACTTTTAGACACGGAGACGGGACAAATAGTTAGCAAGCTAACATCTGCCACACACTCAAATAGATGATTTATTTTTATTCATCCGTCATCTTGCCCCATATTGATGCCTTTCAAAATCAGGGCAACGGTTATGGGAGGTTCCTGCATCCTTAATGATTGAGGATAAGACCAGTTGTGCATTAAGTGCATTGTCAAAGGAGTATATAATACAAATAGATGACAGCGGCAGTCTGAGAAAAAAGATAAAGCAACTAGCAGAATGCATGACTGAAAATAAGTTTATGATGCTTCATCAGTTTACAGAAAACTAAGCTGTGACTTCAGAGGGCAAAGTTAGTTTTATGTGAAAAAGTCAGACTGTGGGAGGCATCTTTGAGACTGTGGGAGAAAACTTTGAGGGTTTTACCACTGGCCACTGTTAGAGGGAGACAAACACCGCTGCATGCAACACAGACTGGTGGAGACGTTTGTGTAAGCTGTTATCAGCCAAGTGGCTTTGACTGAGAATCAGCAAGCTCCAACATTGCCAACTGTTTTAAAGAGAATGTAATTAACATATATAATTATGCAATGGACATACCATTAAGCATAAGTCTCACAACATACACACTGCAGTTGGGAGGAAGCTCAGAAAAACACTAAATATCTTCGTGTCAAGTTTGTAAATAATTGACATCATACACAACAAATAGCACACAGTAGTAGCTGTCCCACAAAACAAATATTAACACAACAAATAAGAGACAGCAACTAATTACAACACAAATACAAAGGAGGGTAGAACCATGTTTCAATGAATGAATCTCCATCTCTCGTGCGACTTAGAAGATGAAATATTACTAGCCTATCGCCTTGCCTCCCTTTAGACTTTAGAGGCTAAACTCAGTTCAGTCACCTTTAAATCTCAACTGTGCAACAGAATCCCCTGGTTCATTTCACTGGAGCTGCTATGTGGAGACCAGTATAAGACTGCAGCAGGAAGTAGGATTTATATATATACTTAAATATAATTTAAGAAATAAGAAATCATCAAGATGGCTACTCCAATACCATACTCAGCCCCCCCCCTTAACACAGCTGAAAGCCCCACAAGAACAAATAAAACTGGCTCATCTAATTGATTAGCTAACGGCACACTAAAAGGGAATAGGTCTGAAGAAAATTGTTGGCTGCTCTCATAGTGTCTTCGATTAAAATCTAATAGAAACAGGAGCACTTTGGTAGACAAAGGGAACCTTTACAAGAAACATTTTACAAAACATATGTAATGTAAAAACAAATTATACACCTTGCTAGACTGGAACACAAGCCCCCAATCGGTGACTGAAATCTATATTCATAAAGAACCATGTTAATATTGTATTAAAAGGACTAAAGTGTTAAAACATCTCTGATCTGCTTGAGCATACCTTGTTTCTTGGCTGATGTGCCTTAGCAATCACTGCATGTTTAAGTCCCTCACCGAACATGAAGAATCAAACAAATAACACATTTTTTAATCAACAAATCTTTAATTTAATAATATGAGCTAAAATAAAGATTTCATGGTTCTAAAATGTCTCTAAGACTGAGATTTTAAACATATTTTAAAATAAGGAACGTACAAAATCAAACACCAAACAAAGGCTGGTCTCAGCTGCTCTCACAGGTGAGTCTAATAAGTGCAGGAAGAAGCCCAGGTGAGCTTCCCACTTCTTTTTATAGACTTTGTCCCTTGGTCCTAGTGCTAGACTAACTATTACTTTCCCTTCCACTAAAATAATAAATGTTTATGCACATAAATATATCTGAAATGTTAGCTGTTGTTAAAGCTTTAAATTGATTCCCCTTTATTTCTAATGGACATAAGATGAAGCATTAACATTCCCTCCACACTCGCTGTCTGCTGCAGCATAAAAAGGTCTTTGTAAGAGACAAGACATCTGCTCGGCCACACTCTCTGACCTTTGTTCATAATGTACAGCTTCTGTTGACATGATCTGGTAGTTGATGTGTTTAGGAGAATCAGCCAACTCAAATCAAATAGCTTGTTTCCTCTGAAAAGACCTGTAGATGGCAGCAGACATTCAAGCACTCAGATATTTGATGACATTCTCAGAGGTTGAACAATCAAGCCTGATTTCCGCTCCTCTGGGATTTCATTCATTAGCTCTGTTTTCTTAAGAGTACAGATTAAGTTTCAAACCCTGGAAACTGAGCCCAAGTCAACACTCTGAGGTCATCTCATCTTATGAATCATAATCTTTTCTGTAATTTTATAGGAGAGTTTCGGCCATTAATTCTCCAGGTTTCTTAACAAACTTGCTCTACTGCTGCGAGCACATTCCATGATTTCATCAGAGAGGCATAATACTGACAGCAAATATGTCAGACTTGACACAACATTCTTGTAATGTCCATGGAATGAAAAAGCAAGTGGGAAGTTGGAATGACGAGAGGATAAAACAATCTGGGTACTGTGAGCCCAGGGGGGTGGCCGTAAAACATTACCCACGTATTAGCAAGTGTTCTCAGGGTAGCTCAGAGTAACCCCGGGGTCAGCGTGACATGAGGTCGAAGGTGAGCATAAAAAATGTTACACAGAGAAAGAATTATGTTTTTTATGAGTCGGGGCCTCTTACTTCCAGTTTTAGGGAAATCATAAACTTACGCAAACGTTATAAAAATGGTCAAATTGTGTCATTGAAAGGCTTAAATTATGAGCAGATAGGATTTTACTGCATCTGTCAGGGCTGTTAAGTGTGATTTACTAAGAATCATAAAGAGGATGTGGGGTAATAGGGGAGTTGCCTTACTTTTTTCTTTTTTTTGCCAAACCACATGAAAAGCAGAGACATGAACGTCAAACAACATTCACTCACGTGGATTGAATTTATCCTGAAGTCTCTTACACATAGAGAACATGTTCCTGGGAATAGAGGAATAGATATTTTAGCCTAATTCCCCAGTGAATAAGCCTGAAGTGTGGCGTGTGTGTGTTTGCATGCATCGAGTCAAGGGTCAGAAAAACAGCATAACACCTGAGGCCACTGGGCCAGGAAATCCTCCAGGTTCACATGGTCTGTGGAAAGACCCTCATGTACAAACAAAGCCAATCAACCTGAACTTTACAGCACAATTATAGGCCAGAAATCACTCAATGGTTTCCCCCAAAAAATAAGCTCTCAAGTGTGGAAAGCTTCACCTGTCAAATGTACAGTATACAAACAACTTGAGAGCTAGAAGTGTTGGTAGGTGTTTTTGTTACCTTTGGACAGAACCAGGCTAGCTGTTTCCCTCTGTTTTCAGTCTTTATGCTAAGCTAAGTTAGCCAGCTGCTAGCTTCATATTTACTGTACAAATAAAATAATGGTATCAATCTACTAGTCGCAAAGCATATTTACCGAAAATGTTGAACGGTTCCTTTAAGGATCTAACTGACATATTTAAAAATTATGCAAAAAGGCCCAAGATTAAAAGAGAAACAGTTAGTTAATAACTCCCGCTGCTCATGAATTTTTAGTTAGGCGATCACGCGGCTCTGTGCATCTGTTTCTATTTAGGAACCTACAGAGAGATTAAATGAGTGTGGAAACGTAATGGATCTCATATGTATGGAGAGGCCCATTTACATCCTGTAATTGTGTTGTGTTTTCAAACCATGACATAAAACACAGATCGCAGAGCTGAGAAGGCACATAAATAGAGTTTACAGTGCGTGAGAGGCATACCATGGAGTCCATTAGTGTCCACTGGAAAGCTTACAGTAT